TGTCTAAATGGGACCAAGCAAAATAATCTATTTATCAATAAGAAATTGAATAAATTTTTTCCTGAGTTCGGGGGTTAATCCCGTTCCCATGTATACCTTTCGCTCGGGCAGGTACTCGATCAATATAACCTGTTCCAGCTCTTTGACCGTTGATTTGGTGGCGTCAAAATCTTCGGGAACAATAAAAGTTTGAGGGGTCAGAAAATCTTCATCTTCCTCTTCTATCTCATGCTTCCCCGATTCGATCGAGGTTGGTGGCTGTGATTGCTATTTGACTTCCTGTTTACATTTGATGCTCGACCTTTCCGAGGTTGATAGTGTCGATATCGGTGTTACCTTATCGACCGCAAACATTTCCTTTGCAGCATTCTGCTCCCCGTATACTGTTTTTACACTGTCCGACGTCAGGAATTTCATCATTTGGTGGAGAGTCGAAGGGACTGCCCTCATATTGTGGATCCAAGGCCTTACGAGTAGGGCATTGTACCTCATATCGCCCTCGATTACGTGGAACATGGTATCTTGAATGGTTCCAACCACGTTCACCGGTAAAATGATCTCGTTCTTTATGAATGCGTGCTTTACCTCAGACTGAGGTATTCTCTTTTGCTTCACCGGCTTGAACATAGGGTCCAGGCTAAGTTGATGCGTTGTTATCTCCATTGGGATCCCTGTCATGTCTAAATGGGACCAAGCAAAACAATCTATTTATCAATAAGAAATTGAATAAACTTTTTCCTGAGTTCGGGGGTTAATCCCGTTCCCATGTATACCTTTCGCTCGGGCAGGTACTCGATCAATATAACCTGTTCCAGCTCTTCGACCATTGATTTGGTGGCGTTAGAATCTTCGGGAACAATAAAAGTTCGAGGGGTCAGAAAATCTTCCTCTTCTTCTTCTTCTATCTCCTGCCTCCCCGATTCGATCGAGGTTGGTGGATGTGATTGCTATTTGACTTCTTGTTTACCTTTGATACTCGACCTTTCCGAGGTTGATAGTGTCGATATCGGTGTTACCTCATCGACCGCAAACATTTCCTTTGCAGCATTCTACTCCTCGTATACTATTTTTACATTGTCCGACGTCGGGAATTTCATCATTTGGTGGAGAGTCGAAAGGACTGCCCTCATATTGTGGATCCAAGGCCTTCCCAGTAGGGCATTGTACCTCATGTCGCCCTCGATTACATGGAACTTGGTATCTTGAATGGTTCCAGCCACGTTCACCGGTAAAATAATCTCCTATTTAGTTGTTTCACTGGCCATATTGAAGCCGTTTAAGACTTGAGTTGCGGGCACGATTTGATTTTGTAGGCCGAGCTGCTCCACGACCCTCGATCGGATGATATTCGCCGAGCTACCTGGATCTACTAAAATATGCTTAACTTGAACTTTATTTAATAAGATAAAAATTACCAGAGCGTCATTGTGGGGCTGAGAAATGCCTTCTGCTTATTCGTCGTTTAATGAGTATGGGTCCCTGTGGGATTTCGACCTCACCGACGATCATATGAATGACATGTTGGAGTTCCTCCTGTTCATTTTTCCTATTAGCGTCCCTTTCTCTGAAATGATTCTTGGCTCGATCGCTGAGGAACTCTCGAAGGTGGCCCTCATTGAATAGATGGGCTACCTCCTCCTTAATTGCCTACAATCCTTGGTCTTGTGACTATGCGTGCCATGATACTTGCACATCAAATTTGGGTTTCTCTGGGAAGGATCAGTTTGTATGGGTCTGGGCCACCTAGTATCTTTGATCCTTCCGATTGCTGATACAATGCCTGATGCATCAGTGCTAAAGTTATATTCCGATAACCGAGGTGCCTCTGTGGGATCGACATACTTGTCAAAATCACTTTTGCTCATAAGTCCCGGAGAATTCTGTCCTCGATCACTTATTCGATCGTTCCAGGCAGAATTGCGTCTTGAACCGTTGTTCCTTCGATCTGTGGTATATGGTTGATATCGGTCTCTGTTCGATCTTGGCTCCATGTCAATGTCCCTTTGGTTTTTAACTGCCGACCTGTTTGGATGTACTGAACCGGAAGGGGCTCCTAATTGGTCGTCCTCGACCCTGATCTTCGATTGATATCGATTGCGCACATCTGTCCAAGTCACAGCTGGATACTCGATCAAATTTTATTTCAACTGACGTGATGTTATCGAAATCCGCTCGTTCAACCCTTGGGTGAAAAGCTTGAACGACCCAATCATCTGTGACCGGTGGCAACTCCACGCGTTCTATTTGAAATCGGGACACGAACTCCCTCAGCATTTCATTATCCCTTTGTCTTACCTTGAAAATGTTTGATTTCCTTGTTGCGACCTTTATGGCCCGGCGTGTGCCTTTATGAAAGAATACGCTAACATGGCAAATGAGTCAATAGAATATGGTGGCAGGTTGTGATACCAAATAATTGCTCCCTTCGACAGGGTGTCTCCGAATTTTTTCAACAACACATATTCGATTTCATCATCTTCTAAATCGTTACCCTTGATGGCGCATGTATATGAAGTAACATGCTCGTTGGGATTGGTGGTCCCATTATATTTGGGTATGTCTGACATACGAAACTTCTTTGGAATATACTTCGGAGCCGCACTTGGAGGAAATAGCTTTTGTACAAATTTCTTCGAATCCATCCCTTTCAAGATTGGCGGTGCCCCCGGTATCTGGTAAACTCGAGAGTTGTATGTCTCCATTTTTTTTTATCGTTGGATTCGATTCTCTTCTCCTCTGATTCAATTCTTTTGGTGAGCTCCTCAAGCATTTTGATTACCGCAAGGGTCAGTCCCTGATTCGTTACCATTCGACCTTTCCGGTACTGGCTCGGTACGGCGAGTAATTTCTGGCTCGACCCTATTCGGAGTTCTATGTTGATTTTATAACTGAGCAATAGCGGCTTGCTGAGCCTGAAGCATCTCGAATATCACTTGGAGACTGACTCCTTCATCTCCTCTGCCCTGTGTTCCTTGGTCACTAAATCGGCCTTCTCTGCGTATGCTCGAAACATGCTCCTAGGTCCATATTTAGAGCAACGCGCGAACTGACATCGACCGGGTTGGCAACCGGTGCTTCCCCGAGATTAGCTTGTGGCACCTCGACTCCTGGAGCAATCACATTTTCATTTTCACTGTGGAATCCGAGTCCATTGTCACCGTGTGTGGATGCGTTTTGTGAGTTTGACATGTTTTAACCTGAAAGCAAAGATACTTGACAAGAACAAGCGTAAAATAGTGTGTTTTACCAGAATCAGTACTGAACAATCACTATTATCCTTAGCCCCACAGTGGACGCCAAACTGTTTACCCTAAAAATTGAGTAACAATTAAACTTATATTGTGGTTTTAAGGATATGTGATTTAAACCAGCACCAATTGATAAACAACGAATTAAATAGATAACTCGGACAATAAAATAAATCAAACCGGTCTGCAAACGATGCCTCGATCTCGATTTGAGATAGTCTCGAGGTTAGTTAATAAGAACAATATAGGATAGAATAAACATCGATGAACAGTGATGAACAAAGTAAACAACGTATATGTATAATCTTATCCGTGAATAATGTTTTTTCTACAAGTGAATGTGATCCCTCTTTATATAATAGAGGAATCCTAAATAAGGTACAACTCTAATAACAGAAGTAGATCTCATGATTGGCGCTAATAACCGCTTTGATTTGATATGTTTCGGAATTTTCGCCCTGACTTTCGACCGGTTACTGATATCTCGTCATTCCATTATTATGCTTTACTCGAAGTCAGTCATGCTCGATCTCGAATATTGATGGCCTCTATCTCAATGAACACTTCGATCTCTAGGTGTGGTGTTCTATCTTCGAGCTCGAGCCCGATCTATTATGAGGTTACCCTCGAGGCAACTCCCCTGCCAACGAAATCGGGTAAATAAGAATTGATTCAAAAGTAAAAAACTAACAAAAGTTACTTTTAACTGACTATGAAAAAAAAGTTTACTAATGTCATCGTAAGCACTAAAGTTCTATTTGAATTATGTTCTATAACTAACAAGGAAAGCATGTAACGTTTCCAATTATGAGTAATTTCTATCAAGAAAATATCATATCCAACATATTTTGTTATTCCTTTTTATTCTCACATTTATTAATTTTGATGCATCCACTTGATGGTATTATTTTCAAATAGATCATTTAAAAATTTACTCGATCCAATTGTCAAGATGTAAATCCACTATAGACATATATTTCATTTTATCCAACTCATTTCAGTTATCTATTAATTTTCTTAAACATTTTATATTTTTTCTTTGTAGTGTTAATGTTGTTGTAATAACACAAGAAAAAGCCTCTTTTTAGTAGACATACAAGTTTATAATTGTATTGATATATGACCGTGGACGGATGCTTTAAATAATTACTATCTGATACATCACGTTCTTATTGTTACTCATGAACCCTTTTAGGTCATGCTTTTCAAGGATAGAGTCTTAGCATGCTTTTCAATTTCATCATATAAAATGTATTAATTGACATGCCTTTTTACAAAACATAAGAATATTACATTAGTATAATTGTGTCTTATCATTATGTTTATTTATTTATTTATTTATTTATTGTTCGAATTAGTTTGTGCGTATTTTAATTATTCAAATTTATATTTTAATTATGAACTTTTTAATGAAAATAAATAGTATCTTTATAATCTTTTCTAGAAATTATTATCAAGATTTGTGGTGAAATGAATAAGATCCCTTCGCCCTTAACTACAACTTTCAAATTTGTGTCTCGAGAATAAAAATTTTTGCCTAGTAGGGCTTGCTTCCCTTTAATAGTTCTTTAATATGAGTTATGTCGGGTCAATGAGTTTAGAATAATTATAAAAAATAGATAATTTTTGCAATTATTGTAAAAAAGGGTAAAAATCAAAAGCTCATTTCAAGTGGGAACTTTAAGTAATTAAAGAATACTTTTGGGGGGTAACCGAAAACATTTTATCTCCTCAGAACTCCAAAATGTAAAATTTACTCTCCACCCCTCGCCAATCTCCAATTCTGCATTTCTCACTTCTACTTTACACATCTACAAACCAAGTAACCAACGCGCAAATACAGACACTACAAAGTACAAACTGAGCTAGCTAGGGTTTCACTTTCCGAGCTTCCCCGCCACCTCCACCGTCTATGGCCGAAGTAATGGACGTTCCGGCGGACGGCTTAGAGCGCCGCCGTGACCGTGAACGAAGCAAAGAGAACAATTCCGTCGAAGATCCGCCGGCATCTTCTCCGCCTCCTCCTCCTCCGCCGAGGCGTGGCCGCGACAGAGATTCACGGGAACGGAGAGACGACAGAGATTTTGATCGCCGAGGTGGTCGTGGGGACTATTACGACCGTAACCGGTCTCCTCCTCCACCTCTTCGAGAGCGGGAGTACAAACGTGGACGGCCTAGTCCTAGCCCTCCTCCTCCTCTTCCTCCTTATCGAGACCGCCGTGGTGGATATTCTCCTCCTCACCGCCGTTCGCCTCCGTTTCCACCTTATAAGCGCTCGCGTAGAGATGACTATGATGGCGGCCGCCGTGGAAGCCCTAGAGGTGGTTTCGGGCACGGTGATCGAAGGTAAGTCGTAAAGCTTTCTTACGTTTCATTTTCTCTGTTTATGCTCGTAAATCTTCTTTTAGATCTTCAATAATTAGTCAAATTAGCTAACTAATAGGAATTGTACCTAGTGGTTAATGAAGTAGGCAGAGAACTATGAGGTCTTAGTGGAGGCAAAAAAACACTATGTCTACCTAGGCCTTGCTGGACAAAACACAAAGTTGTTTGGTAACTGCAGTGGAATACTACCGTCATAAAGAAGGTTGGATTTGAGGTTTAGTTGTTGTTGCTGCTGTAGCTAAGTAGTAGGAATTACATTACATACATAAATAAGTGGAGACAGAGGTGGAACCAAATATTTTAACATGGGATTCGAAGAATGCAAACTTGCATTGTGAGTGAATAAACCTAACTATGTTGGGATTTTTTTGTTTGATAAGGTAACTATGTTGGGGATTTAACAATTCACATCAACAACAACAAACTCAGTGAAATCCCACAAGTGAGTTATGGGAGGGTACCCAGACCCTCTACCTCATGAGGGTAGAGAGGCTGCTTCAGGCAGACCCTGAGCCCAGGAACATAAATGGGGGCAATAAACAAACAATAGCATCAACAAGGTAATAGGACAAAAAAAGCAATTGGCCATGTAATAACAAAGATCTAGGAATAGGAAAATACAATAATAGTGCCAATATTACCGGTAAGAATGACACACCTTGTACCAACAAGGAACTAAGAATAGTAAAATAAGACTGGTACTAATACTGCTTAACAATTCACATATAAACCATATAAATGAAAATATTTGTTTTTACCCTATTTATATAGTGTGACTTTTCCACAAGGGGGATTCAGTTGAATAGAGCATATAATGAATTATGAGTTCAATCCATCTTGTTTAACAGAAAGACGGATACTCCTTGCTCATTATCATACAATCACATATTCACAAACTTTATGTGGGGCAATTGTTTTCATTTCCCATCTCTTCAAAAACCCGTAAAAATGCGCTAAAAATGGAAGAGCATTATCGGGGAGAACCCAAGTGAACTTCAACTTCCGTTACCCAAACTGTTGAAAAATAAAAATCATCTTTTTGTTTTTTCTTTTTCATTAGCTTTCCACGGGAGGGGTACAGTTTAGATGTATGCCAAAGTTTCAAACAAAAGGGAAATGAAATTTTGATCCGAATCCCATCCTTCGACCAATTTTTTAGAAATTCTGTTTATGATAATTGCACACCATTATAAGTACATTTAATATGCATTTCTCTATTTCAATTACTGCAAATCTTCAACAACACACTTCTATCTGCCATTGGGTATAGGGGCAGACCCAAATGATTCACCGCATTTCAAAGCTGAAAACAACAAATTTCTGGGATACAAAAAAAGGAAAAGGTAGAAGGAACACTTACTAAAATTAATATGGTGATGCACATTGTTGGTTTCAGTGTGTTAGATTAGTGTATTTCAGCTGGAATTTGGTGGGATAGCATAACGATGCAATATAGTATACTTTCTAGGGCGTTGCTCATTTTTAATAAAAACTTGTAATAAAAATGTTTAAGTGCTGGCAAGGGTTGCGTAAGTTGGGTTTTTGCGGGTTTGCTAGTAGAACATAGATGTTATTATGTTAAGCTGGAAAGTTTAGCTTCTGTGTGGTTCCAGTTTTGATTGGTAGTATAATGTTCATATTATCTGTTGTTCAAACAACAGCAACTTCATCTTAATTACGTCAGGTTGGTTATATCAACCCTCTGTACCATTCCACTCTCTTTGGATCATTTCATTCAAACACTCGATAATGTGTTATTTATTTGAAGACTGACAGACCTTTTATTTAGTTTCACATGCACAGTTACATGTTTAAGATTGATTCATTTATGTCTGTCTGCCCTAGCGTACATGTTGAGGTGCCATCATTATGTATGTAAACGTGATTGGAGGATAGGGATATTAATACTGCTAACACAAAAAAAGATAGATAGAAATACTGTTAACAAGTCACTTATCGGTTATCACTAAGAACTTGCTTCAATTTGCAGCGTAGATCTTAATTTTCCAGAAAGTTCATGATTGGACTCTATTTGTGGATTCTCCTAACATTGTCATTGTTATTACAATTGAGGATGTCGTAATGCTGCATCTTTACATGGTTGCTTCCTCCCCCTTTTACCAAACTTTCATCGCTTTTGCCTGTGTTCAAGAATCTTTCTTTGGTCATAGTTGATATCATGTTTATTTTCTGTTGTATTTGGATGGCAAACAGCCATTTCTTATTCCCATGTGCTAATATGCAATTAGATTCAATAGTTTGTTTGATGCTGATTTTTGTAGTTGGATAAGCACCAAGTATGTAAACACTATAACTTTTCTTGTATTGAATGATGGATTTGTGGAATTTAATTGGCGGTGAAATAAGTGACTGAATCTTTATGATTGAATGTTGGATCATCAATAAGAGGAATAGAAGTAACTAAACAATGATATCACAATAGAAGGTGAAGAGTCCGATCTTTTAGTGAAATCAGAACTTTGCGTCTTTTGTTGGTCTTCACCCACCGGGACACCTTGGTTTGTGAACTTTGGTGGTAAACACTGGTCTTACTGCATGATCTAGAATGATTGGCAAACTTAACCAATGGTTGATCATTGAGCTTCTAAGGCCCAATGTATCATCCACAAGACGAGTGCTGCTAAAATGTGGATGTTAAGGTGAATGTGTGGGCATACAATATTTATCAAGAATTAGAAATAACCATATCTAACAGAAGGCACAAGTAGCCCAAAAAGAGAATAAAATGAGACAAGATCCACAGAGATGGGTTGTGCATGTTCTTTTAGACCTCCAAAAGCGCATGTCCTGAGGTGGGCCAATATGATGGTTGAAGGTGTCAAAAATGGACGCCGTAAACTAAAATCAAATTTAGAGAAGTTTCAAGAGATCTACTCAAATCAATGTGGACATAGCGAGTAACAACACACAATAGAAACAAAGGATCAATAAAGGGGATACCCACTAGTTGAAAGTTATGTTGTTAGAGGTGGGCGTTGTTATGTTCAGTTCATTTTTTCTAATTTCAGTTAGTTTGGTTCACGACTTCAAGCTTTTTAAAAATGGGCTTCTTTTGACAAAAAGGGCTTCCATGTTAATTTTTCGGGTGCTGCTTGTGGAATCACTATTTCTTCGGTGGAACTTTTCCTTATGTTGGGCCATTTCAAGCGGACGAACTGATTATAAGCGGCTATAGCAAGTTAATTGATTGATAAATTGAAGTGCCAAGAATACTAGGCCCTTCAGGATAATTCTTGTCCTTTATGCCTGAGGAACTTATGATTTTTCCTGCATTTCATATTTCATATTTCCTGTTGTCGATTTTCTTGCAAGTATTTTTATGATGGTGCTCTCAAAATCTTTTTGCTATTGCAGATTTGGTTATGACTATCAACCCGGTTATGAGCGTGAGATGGGGGGTAGACCTGGTTATCCTGATGAGAGGCGTCACGGACGATTCGCAGGCCGCTCGGCTGGTGGCTATCGAGGTGGTCCGTTTCATTAATATTTTACCCTCTTGGAGTATTGGCTTTCAGTGGGCGTGTTAAATGTGTAGCATTTATGCTATTAGAAGTTTATAAGTTTATTTTGACTAATATGTAGTTTAAAGCACGACTTATGTATATCCATTGCTTTATCGGGTAATTAGAAAATTATGATAAGTCAAACAAGTTATGTCTTGCCCTTTACTTTGTTATCTTAGAGTGTGTTTGACTGTTTGGGTTAGCCCAAAGCTCGTCAAACTAGCTTTTAAGCACTTTATTGGCTTATTTTTGTGCTTGGTAAACACCAATAGTGCTTTTAAAGCAAAACAAGCTAAAACAAGCAAAAGCGGTAGTTAAACCTATTATCTCTTACATGTTTTTATAATTCCAAAGCACCCTTCTCTCACCAAAAGCCCAACCCTGCTTTCTTTCTTTTCCTTCTTCCCTCTCACATTGCTAGTTCCTTTCTGCCATAGCAGGTATTTTTCTTGGTCTGCAAATGGGTCTTTTGTAGACTACTTGGCTATAGACTGTACAACCTTAGCTAAATTGGTGATTTCCTTGATCCAGAGTTTTTTAGAAATTCACATAATTTGATCAACCTTGAAGTTGTAGCTCAGTCATTTATTAAATGAAGTAAATAAAGGCATGCATAAGAGAACTTGTAGCCTTACTTTCGGTGTCAAGTGCAAAGCCTGGAAGAGAGAACCACCTTCCTTTATGGGTAAGTCGAGATAGAAAGTGCCTTAAGTACAACTATAAGACTATGAGATGGATCTAAACTATTAGGATTCAATGATTGCATGGGAAATTCTTTATGTCTAAAACGGAAAAATTGATATTGCATATTCGCAAGGGTTAACAGTGTAAATGTAGAGAATATGCGAAACCAAAGTGATAACTATTTGTTAATGATATTTGTGGGTAAGTCGAGATCGAAAGTGCCTTGAGTACAACTATAAGACTATGAGATGGATCTAAACTATTAGGATTCAATGATTGCATGGGAGATTCTTTATGTCTAAAACTGAAAAATTGATTTTGCATATTCGCAAGGGTTAACAGTGTAAATGTAGAGAATATGCGAAACCAAAGTGATAACTATGATATTTGTAATGTTGAACTTTTGATTTTCTATGAGTTTCTTTTGCACTATTTAAGTATGTCTTTAAATTTTTCTTACAAGCTTTAGTCAAATTATTAAATACTATTGTTTTTGTCCCAATTTATGTGCGGTGTTTGATTGGGCACGAAGCCACTGATTTTTTTCATCTTGTCTTTAGTCGAGGGTCTATCGAAAACAACCTTTCTGCCCTCTTAGGGTAGGGGTAAGATCTGTGTACACTACCCTCTCCCAGGCCCCACTTGTTGGAGCTCACTCTTTTGTTTTGGTTGTTGTTGTTTGACTGGGCACAAAGTTTAGTAAAGAACGAAAGATTTTTGAAACTTGTGGTCTAAAATGAGCCATAAATCTATGTCAGACTATAGATCATCTTATTAAGGTTAAAATGGGCATTTTAACGTTTAATTGTCACTAAATATAGAAAGATGTTATTCTTTTTTAGACTGACTAAAAAGTAAAGAGTGTCACATAAATTGGGATGGAGGGAGTGTAGGTTATTTACATAAATAACTTATGTTTGTTAATCCTTACGTTTATTAAATAATCTTATTTAATCAATTTATAACTTATGAATTGAGACACAAATTAATTTATGGTTGAATTAATTTAAAATTAAAGATGCTGCAATTATACATATGCGCTCATATTTTTATTAACAACTTTAAGGGCATTTCAGTCATTTTAATAAGAAAAGTATTTATCATCACTCTTTTACCAAATACATTAATGGCCTAGTTTCAGTTTCAACACTTTTATCTAAACAAGTAAATGCTTATTCATATATTTAGCTCCACCACTTAAAAAAGTGCTTTCAAACACTTGGTGCTAAAAAACTACTTAAATTCAAAATCAAACAGGCTCTTAGTTTAAATTCCCCTATAATCCACTGATGTCTCCAACAAACTTGAGGGAGAAAACATTAATAAAATTCTTTCAGTTACCTATCCCAAAAAAAAAAAAGAAAAAAACTTGAGGGAGAAATTTTTATATTTGAACCTTTTTGATATACTCTTTTTTAGGCAGTGTTGTGAAGAGCGTGATGCGAGGAAAAGCGACAACCCCCTTTTCGCTTAAAGCGAGAAGCAAAGCGTTCGCTTTTTTGAAATGAAGCGGAATTAAAAAAAAAAAATTAAAATAAATACTGCATAGACAACACATGTAACTGCAAGCAAATGTTCAATACTTCAATATAAAAACTAAAGAGTAGCGTCAATTAAAGCACAAAAGAAAGGCAATAAGAACTAAGAATAAAGGATATAAAAATAAGAGGAAGGGCAGTATACTATTCCAGTAAAAAATGAGCAGCAGTTCAAACGAAAAAACAGTGCAAGAAAATGAAGAAGAAGAAGAAGAGGAGAAGAATGAGAAAGAAGAACTGGAGGGAAAAAATAATTCGCCAGCATTTCGCTGCTATTTGGACGCTGAAACAGCGAAAGAAAAAGGAGGAGGAGGAGGAGGAGGAGGAGGAAGAAATCACATACCTGGACCAAACTTAATGATCTTGAAGTTGAAAAGTGTAGAAAACTTGAACCCTAGTTGCCTCTTTCTTTCTCTATTGCTGCTGGTCGATATGTTTTAAAGAAAAAGAACATCTTTTTTAATTAAATAGGTTGGCAGCCCTTTAAAACAGAGAAGTGCACGCTTCTTACGCATCGCTTCGCATCGTCGCTTCTCACTTTTTAGTGGGGAGCGAGTGCTTTTGAATACCTGCTACGCTTCAGATAGCAGAATCGCTCGATGGGTCTCCTCGCTCTCGCTTTAAGCGAGGAAGCGCCCGCTTTTCACAACACTGCTTTTAGGTACATTGGTTAATGTGCATTCAGTTTTTCGTTCTAAGATTTTAAGCCAGTAATATTATTCATGATCAAGTTATTTGTTCCAAAATTTTGTGGCATTTGGCATTTCTAGGGATTGACTTTTGACCTATATTTTTTTGCTAGACTGGGGGAAAGGCCGGGGAGGATTTGCAGATACTTTCGGCACAGGGAGCAGTCAAAGGTACGAGTTTGTGTCATTAAGCATTTCTTTTTCCGATAGTCTCGTTTGTGCCTTTATAGCTCCTTGCAACTTCTATAATCGCAAATGAGCAACTTTTTTCCCACATAACTTCCATCTAGTTAACTAAGTCCCAGACATTCCATAGTGGGTGTTTAGTCTGCAGTAGCGAGCTCAGCTGCATGGAGAATGCTATTCTCACTTGAGTGAAATTGTTTGCTCCATGTTGTCTTTGTCATGTCACATTTTGCTCACTAGACTTTTTGCTCTGGTTTTTATTTGGGCATCAATAAAGTAACAAGAAAATTGTGTTTCTTGAGACTTGGGGTATCTTTTGCTTGTCTGCTTAGATGGAAAAGGAAAAGTTAAATAATAGGAATGTGGGTGGTTACAACTTATAAAAGGCTACCCCCGCCTTCCCCGGCCGCGCGTGAAAAAAAAAAGGAACCCGTTTTGGAGGCCTGTAGTTTTTCCAGCAAAACACAGTTTGTAAATGTGGTCCTCTCCTTCATTAAATGCTGGAGGATCAGCTCTCAGGCACTTTCTTTCCTTTTCCATTCAACTAAATAGTACCTTTATGCATCAGAGTGTGAGGCTTAAGAAGGATTTTGTGATTTTTTTTTAGTTGAATTGTTATATGAAAATGATATTGCACTTGTATTGTTTCATCAGTTTTTCTTGAAAACATCAAAGCATTTGGTTTGAATAATTGATGCACTCTTTTGAATATGTCACAGAGAGGGATTGAAGTCTTATAAGCAATTCATTCAGGAGCTTGAAGATGATATTTTGCCAGCTGAAGCTGAGCGCAGGTCAGAATGGCAAAGTCTTGTTCTTTAGATGTTTCAGCTAAGCTTAATTTTATGGCCTCTGGTATAACTTGCAGGTTTTTTGATTTGAGTACATTTTTTCTCGTGTATATGTAAATGTGTCACTGTAAAATAATTGAGCTATTTCTCCTTGTATGCAGGTACCAAGAATACAAGTGTGGGTATATAGAAGCACAAAAAAGAGCTTATTTTAATGCACATAAAAATGAAGAATGGTACACTTCCAGCTCACCTAGCTTCCCCTGCTATCTCTACTTGCTGCAGTTCTCTAATAGAAGTTTTTTGTCCATGCAGGTTGAAGGACAAATACCATCCTACAAACTTAATTTCTGTTATTGAAAGGTAAGCTTTGATGCCATTGTATAGAATTTTTGTTGGGAGAGCTTTGGAGATGCTCTTGTTTGTTACTTGGACTAACTGCTTTTATACCTTTCACCTATTGTTCTAACCAAGTGTATAATTCTGGTCCTATTAATCTCTTCCTTTCTGTCTTAATGTCATGTAGGAGGAATGAGCTCGCAAGGAAATTGGCGAAGGATTTCCTACTTGATTTGCAGAGTGGAACTGTAGACATGTAAGATCTGTTGTTCTTTGTATATCGATATGCATGATGAAATAATGTACTGCTAACTGAAGTGATTCTTTGCACAAAATAGAGGTCCTGGTGTTACACCTGCTTCTGCAAACAAGTCAGGACAGTCAAGTGACCCAAATTCCGACGAAGAAGCCGATGAAGGTGGGAAACGGAGGCGGCATGGAAGGGGACCCACTAAAGAAACTGATTTACTTTCAGTTGCTCCAAAGGCTCACCAAGTTAGTTCTGATCCCAGAAGAGTCCAGATTGATGTTGAACAAGCACAGGCACTTGTAAGGAAGCTTGACTCGGAGAAAGGAATAGAGGATAACATATTATCTCGATCTGATAATGATAGGGGAAGCAGAGACAAGTCGCATGGTTCCTCTGGCCCTGTTATTATCATAAGGGGCTTAACTTCAGTAAAAGGTCTCGAGGGAACTGAGCTGCTTGATACGCTTCTAACCTATCTGTGGCGCATTCACGGGGTTGATTATTATGGCACAACAGAGACAAATGAAGCTAAGGGTCTTCGGCACGTTAGAGGGGATGGCGGCAAGACTTCTGATGCAACAAGCAGTGGAGCAGAATGGGAAACAAAACTAGATTCGCATTGGCAAGACAGGCTGAAAGGTCAGGATCCTTTGGAGCTAATGGCTGCAAAAGAAAAAATTGATGCAGCTGCTGCTGAAGCCTTAGATCCCTATGTACGTAAGATTAGGGATGAGAAGTATGGCTGGAAATATGGTTGTGGAGCCAAGGGTTGTACAAAGCTCTTCCATGCTGCCGAATTTGTCCATAAACATTTAAAGTTGAAACACCCTGATCTGGCAGTGGATGTTACGACTAAAGTACGTGAAGATTTGTACTTCCAGAACTATATGAAGTAAGTGCAGTACACAGTAGTATCTTATTTTTTAACCTTCTTTATTTTTAGTCACAAGGCTAAAGGCTTAAATGATCTCAGTGATGAAAATGCTCCTGGTGGGACTCCTGTAATGCTGCCATCTATGCCGGTAAAGCATCCATGTCTCCTTTCTTTATTTTATTCACCATTTCGTGTGTTTCTTACTTTGCATACAAGTGTTTGAACCTCTTTAATTCTCTACTCCAGGCTTCTTCTCATACTTTTTTCTTATATGTGACTTAAGTAATGCTGTGGTGTCCAGCTATTATGTCTTGTGAATTTTGCTGCTTTTTTCTTCTTTAATCTTCATGTTCAAGAATCTCAGAAAAACAAGCTGGAAGGTGTTGTCATGGTAATTTTGTGGTCGATTGGTTTCCAGACAAATTATACATAGACTGTAATAGAGGATTTTAGTGCGGTGAATAATAACTGCTGGCTTAGGTGTAGTGTCATTAGATGTTTGGTTAATGGTATTAAAAGATATATATGGTGTATAGTCTGAGTGGCTGCTTTATTTGAGTTAGATACAGATTTTTCTCTAGTAATACCTTTGTCCCAAATAGAGTGTAGTGTGTATGGAGGATTTATATAGCTCACTCCGACTAGTCTGAGATTGAGGTGTAGTTTATTTGTTTATTGCCCATTATCTTATGCAATAATATAAATAGCATAATACAATAAAGAGCTTAGTCAGATGTGTCATTATCAAATTTTTTATTAGCTTACATAAAGAACAAAAACAATTTAAAATGAAGTATAATAACTTCACAAGATAAATGAATTATAAATGTTGCATTCCTCTTCTAAGCACATGAAAATAATTTTCGAAAACCTTCTTGTAATTTAAATAATGCCATAAAACACTACTAGAAGAAACAAATGAGAGACAACAAGAGATGGCTAAAATTCCATTAATAACACGAAGGATGCTGTTGTAAATTTCCAAATGCCTGATTATTAAATTGTAATTTGATACCGGGATTATTTTCATTTACAGGAGTAACAAAATGACCCCTTTGAACTTGTCCAAGAGACGAAGAACTTTTAGATTGGAATCCGCAACCTTCTATTTAGGCGTAGCTAATGATTTAAGCATTTTTCTACATGATAGATATTGTGATACTGGATATTTTATGTCACAACTGATAGTCTTCTAGAAACTTGTTATAGAATTGCTAGGCTGGAATCTATGATCCTCTATTTACATAAAAAGCTAGTAAATATAGCCTTTTTTCTAAATTATATCTAAGCTTTTCAACATTCTTCAGTTCTCTAGTGTCCTGATGGAAAAGAGCATGGAACTGAAATCAAAGTTCTAAATTTAGCGTATCAAAACTATTGGAAACATATACTGATTGTTGTCCCCAGGGCTTTGATTCAATGGTAAAGGTAGTACAATAGAAAGGGTGTTAGGCGCACCTCATGAGTTGAACCAGGTCTGGAATTTAAGTGGAGAAGGGCAGAGAAATGGGCTCATTTACCACTGAGTTTCGAAGCTAGAAACAACGGATTCCTCGGTTATTGGGAAAACCATATACTGATTGCCCTGGTGGTTTGGACAAGTGTGCATCAGTACCTCATAGTATTTTAAAATCACTGATAAAATTTCTAACAATTGTGAAGTAAATGTTTGTTTTGTCCTTGTGTCATAAGAGTGTGCAAAGAGTTGTTTGGATGCAAAAAATCCCATCACACATCATCCCAGCCAGAAAATTGATGATTGCATGTTTGAATCCTAAATATTGCCTCCACATGATGGCAGTTAGTGATGTTTACATGAATGGTTTAACCTGAGTAATTCGGTCTCTGACGTCTTTATTGCTGCGATAAATTCATACCAGCTAGATTGTTCTTTTTGTTGTTAGCACCTGTATTATAATGCTAAGTTCCGCTATTTGTCATCTGTGTTTCAATGCTGTTTATCTTCTTTTTTGTATTCTTGCTTATGTGATCTTGGCGCATTGTCCTGAAGGAGCTAGTCCATTTTTATATGTTGATTCGATAAGGAAACATTGTGATCTCATGTATGACTCAGTCCTCTTTTTATCATATTTTTCAATCTGTAATGATTTTAACAGCATGTGGATAATATGCAGATAGAGAAGCCACTAAGGCGCCGGCCTGGGCTAGATGGCCGACTGAAGGATGACAGAGGGAGCCGTAGAGATCGTGATGGTCGAGCTAATGGTGGTGAAAGGTTTGATTTGTCTGACAACCCGAAATCTGGGGATTTTCAATCTAATAATGATGGTGCCAGTGGGGGAAATCCTGATGAAGAAATGTTTGATACTTTTGGTGGACAAGGGATTCCAGTTGCTCCTTTCCCTTCAGATATGGCTCCTCCGCCAGTGTTGATGCCTGTTCCTGGTGCTGGGTAACTTAAAATGATTCTCCCACTTGTTATATTTTCAAAACTAGGTCTCTGCTAAGACTAGTGTATTGCTATTGAATTTTTGATTATGCATTTTCACTGCAAGTGCAGTCCTCTTGGGCCTTTTATTCCTGCGCCTCCTGATGTTGCAATGCGGATGATGCGAGAACAAGGAGGCCCTGGTCCTTTTGAAGGTGGTAGAAATGGGATGTCTGGGCCTGCAATAAGTGGGGGGGGCCCGATAATTGCTTTACCTCCTGCATTTCGACAGGATCCTCGTCGTTTGCGAAGGTATTTTGTGCCTTGAAGTATTTTCAGATTGACTAATGAAGAAACTAATAGTTACCATTATTCAAATGTCCCATCTCACTAAAATCTGTAAAATCTAGTCAATTGTGAATTTGGCACTGTGTTTGTACAGCTTCAGGGAAATTGGTTTCTATCTGGCGAGAAGACACAATATGGTTATTCCAAGTGTTGCTATTGTATTTTGATGACTTGTAGAGCACGCCAATAAAATCTAGATAATGGCTCTTTGGATAGGTTTGATGTAAGATTACAATATAGGCTTTGCATTGTCTTGTTTGGTGTCTAGACGCACTAAAAACAACCAGGAAATAGAAGGGCTGAGTTATAGGTTGTGTGAGTAAGGGCTTGGATTAGCTTATATTATAAATGGCTCCTGGAAAGTGGGTAGTGTATTGTGCTAAAAAATATAATGGTTGCGGGCTTCATCCGCATTGATACAATGTTTTGTTCCAACTCCAGCATATTGGTAGGTACTAACCATTCTAAATTTGTGGGGTGGCTCAGATTCTACTTTTTGATGTTTTCTATATTGATTATCTCCTATTTTCTTGGTTACATAACGTTCTGAGACAATGATGTATAATTTAACGCTTTTAGCTGTCTGCCCCTTACTCTCTAGAACTTCCCGTGCATGTTTTACGCCTTGTGATGTCTGTTACCCCGAATAAGATTTCTTCTTAAATTTTCATTTTGGTATGTGGTTTTAACTTATTTGATATGTTTTTTTGGTAATCTAGAATCTGGTTATGTAGTATATTTATTTGCATGTGTTTTCTAAGTTAATCTTTGTATCTACTTTTAAAATATGAAAAATTAATTTTTTTTGATACAATGTACACTGCTGGGTTCTGCAAAGGATGCATCGTATAATTGGGCCTTTAGAGGATGAAAACAAAGATGCTGAGTGTGGGATGTTGCTCCATGGACCATTAACACTTATGTAGGTAGTACGGAGGGAAAGAAATATGAGATTTTCTTGAATCTAATGAGCTTCTGTTTTTTTTCTGATCAAGCAAAGTGTAATTTTATTGATTAAGGGAAAATGTGAGGTTCCTATTTGTATAGAAGATTGGGCGTCTTTGCAGAGAATCATATGTTTCTGTAGATTCTCTGTTTTGTGTGCACCTCTTGTATACGGGAGCTTTACCATTATCAGTAAGATTATACTTTACTTGATTAAAGAAAAAGAGAAGAATTCCATGATACTTAGACTGCAAGATACTTATGCTACGACTTGGAGCTACTGCCTCATTTATGCACTACTTTGAAAAAGCAATTCTTGTGACTACTGACTACTAGACATGAGGGCACATGTTCAAGATAAATCGGTGTAAGCTGGTTCTTCTGTGTCTGTAGAATAGGTTGAAGTGGAATTTTGATCATGGGTTCCATGTTGAGAAGAATAAAAAGACAGAAAAAAGAAGACAGGTGGAGTCCAGTTTGTGTAAATTTTCACCTCTTCTGTTTATGTTCTCAAGGCAAGATTCGGAATCAAGAAAACTTATTTGCTGCTCAAGTAGATGGAGGAATGCTATAACTACCAAAGCTGAGTTATTTCTGGAAATTCTCCGAAGCTGTTTTCTTACCTCCTGATCTGCTAGCTCTATTTTTCTTTTAGAGTTGCGATTGGATACCTTTTCCCCAAAAAAGTAACTACGCAAAATGAATATGCCCAAGTAGCAGTGTGTCATGCATCATGCATTTAGTTGTCATGTGTTATGTAATATAGTAACCTGCATCTCCTGTTAAGAATGCATAGGACATCACTCCTACAATGTTTTTAAAATGCATCTGTCTGTTTCTGTGTAATATATGGGATATTTTGTGGACGTTGATGAATAGGAAGTCGAGTTAGATATACAAGGATTTACAAATAGCAGCATTTTGTTGGTGTTACATACGCTGGAGGCATCTGAATCTACCTTCAGGATTGGAGGAAAAAGAGCAATAGTGCATAGAGCTATGTTGCTCGAGCAGCTAATGGTTATCCTGTTATATCTTGGTAGTAGTAGTTTTGTTTTTGAATAAAAGTGTGACTGACCTGAATACATGTTATGCCATTTCGTGATTTAATTTGTAATAATCAGACACTATACTTGCTTTCTTTGGAAAGAAAACTATCCATACTTTATTAATCTATACTGACCTACATCTCAACAATTTCGCAGCTATCAAGATCTTGATGCACCTGAGGATGAAGTTACTGTAATAGACTACAGGAGTTTGTAGAGTAGACATGGAGAATGGAGTAATATTTCTTCAAGTGGGTAGAAGGCAACCTGCATTGATGCACATACAACTGCGTTGATGTCGAAGCAAGAGCGGGTACTTGACCGTCTTGAAGTTATGAGGAACCAACTGCATCGACATGCATAGTTGGTCTTTTAGTTGAAAGAAAACATGGTGGGGGCTGGATTTTATTAGATATTCTTGGTGCAGTAGTACTTGCTAGCTATTTCCAGGTTCTGCATCAGCGTTTAAGCTCGCAGAATTTCCAATTTTTTTCTCCTCCCCACTTGATGTGTGGTGAATTTAGGAACTTTGCTGATAAGAACTTGAAATGAGAGAATTACAAATTACTAGATATTGTAAAATATATTTTGTGACTAGAGTTGTCAGTTGTGCCTTCGGGGACGTCCAACAAAACTGGGACTAGAGTTGTCAGTTTGTTTTTGGTGTTTGCATAAACTTAAATCGAAGAAAACCATGTAGCTGTTGAGATTTCTGATAACGTGGAGCAGTTACCTTGATTGTGAATGCTCTTAGGATCTAGTGTTTCTTTTATTTTTCATAGCCAATTATTTGTTACGATCTGGTGTTTCTTATTTTTTTTTCCATCGCTGCTGCAACTTTGCTTTCCTTGAGCGGAAGGTATATCAAAAACTGCCTTTCTACCTTCACAAAGTAGGGGTAAGATCTGCGTATATACTCTCTCTCCAGGCTCACTCATGGGATTATATTGGTGCGTATATACTATCTCCCTAGACTCACTCGTGGGATTATATTGGGTGGTTTGTTGTTGTTGATCTTCCCAAAGCAGAAAAATGTATGTCCAATTTATAAGGGATTTATGAATGCGGAGTTATCAGATTTATTTGGTACATAACTTAGCAGAGTTAGGTGATATTTTCTCATTTCTTTTGGTGGATAGAGTTATTCGGTATTTGTATTGGTAGAAGGTGGCGGGTATCTGATAGGATAGTGGATAGTGAGGTGCGCAATTGCTCGCTCCGTCAAGGTTTATTTGTTCACTATTAAGTTGGCATACCCCTTAAGAAATAATAAATAATATGAGAATTTTACTATATCATTCCTAATTATTATAATTGGAAAACTAACTTTGACTATTATAAATTTAAAATGTTGGGAAATGATAAAGGGTAAAATAGGTATAAGATGGTAAATTTTCATTGGTTTTCCAATTTAGACAAGTAAAAGTGGATATATTTTTTTTTGGCAAGTAATTAATTTTATTACCAAAAACTGGTCAGTACTAACTCAAAGAAAGAAGAAAAACAACACAATGGACAACCCCAGTTGTGCACTACATCAGTGACTCATGCACCACAATTTCTCATCCTACTCAATAGCATTTCCTATGTAGGATAGTGATTCAGTCTAATTGAATTCTTGTTCAACTTCTTGCACATGCAACACAATGTATCTGGTAATTCTCACTCATGGCAGAAGATGATTCAAGTCAGAGACAAGGTTGAACCTCACATTATTTGGCATATCAACTCTCGAAACTCAAGTATATGGTGGGATAATTGGACCGAAAAAGGACCTTTAGCTTCCTTATTTTCAAATGCCAACAAAAGCTCCAAAATCCTTATTAAAGATTTTATTCAAGATGGCAACTGGAATATCCAAAGGCTCAAAGATTTGTTTCCAGATGAGCTCATTCACCATATAGAAAATATCAACATTGGTAAGCATGATCTGCCTGGCCAAGCTTTTTGGGATCTTACTGATAATGGTAAATATTCTTACAAAACATCTTTACATCTGTTCAGAGACGCAAAGGAGAAAGATCGATTCCTTACAAAGGTATGACACTCTAGCATTCCTTTTAAAATTTCTTTCCTAACATGGAGATTGTGCTTATCTAAACTTCCTTTTGATGATATTATCCTTGATTTTGGTAAGAACATTATCTCTAATTGTAACTGCTGCAATAACCCAAAAAAAGAGACTATGCAACATGTTTTTGTTGAGAGTGATGCAGCTAGGTATATCTGGAAAGCTATAGGATCCCCTCTAGGAATCATTCCTATGCAATTGCCAATTAGAGGATTAATAAATCATTGGTGGCTACAGAAATCTAAGAATGCTCTTCACAAATTTGCTCTCCAAATCATCCCTATTATAATATGTTGGGAGATGTGGAAGAGTAGATGTTCTTGCAAATATGGTGATGAAAAGAGGTTCAACTACTACAAGATGAAGCAACAGATCTACTGGAATACTCAAGCTGCAATCAATAGAGCTTTCCCAAAATGCAAGCTAACATTGCCTTGGGTCAACTTTTGTGACAACATGATGAAACTTCAACCTATTCCTAAGGCTATCTCAGTATGCTGGAATAAACCTAAACATGGAGTCATTAAAGTAAATACCGATGGAAGCTTTATTCATTGTAATGGAAAAGCGGGATTGGAAGGAGTGGTGAGAAACGACCAAGGAGATCTCATTATGGCCTTCTCAATTCCTTCAAGATGCAGCAACAATAACATGTCAGAGGCTCAAGCTGCTATGTTTGACATTAATTGGTGTGTACAAAATGGGTTCTCAGACTTCACAATTAAATTGGACTCAATGCTGGTGATGAATATGCTGAAGGAGGGTGATACCAACAACTATAGGTTGAAGAAGATCATAAAAGATACTTCACATATAATGAACCAGGCCAATATTACCCCTGTGCATTGCTTCAGGGAGGCAAATGAAGTAGCAGACTCTTTAGCAAAATTGGCGACTACTAACTCTGAAGCCAAAGTATACCTTTCTTTCCAACAACTCCCAAAAGGAACTAAAGGTTCTTTTGTGCTTGACAAACACCTGATGCCTACTGTTAGGCTTAAGTATGACAAAGGAAATTTTTTTGTTAGCTAAGTAGTAAATGTCTTGTACTTTAATAGAGGCGCAAACTAATGTAA